TTCCTCGTTCAAGGGAAATAGTTGCAATCCCCGGTCCCAATCACGAGCGGGTTTCAACGGGTTACCCGCGCCTCTCGGCGCAGGGTAGGCACACGTTGATCCGCCCATTGTGGCGCGCGTGCAGCCCCGGACATCTAAGGGCATCACAGACCTGTTATTGCTCAGTCTCGCGTGGCTGAACGCCACTTGTCCCTCTAAGAAGTTGCAGACGCTGACCGCGCGGGGCCGCGTAACTAGTTAGCATGCCAGAGTCTCGTTCGTTATCGGAATCAACCAGACAAATCACTCCACCAACCACGAACGGCCATGCACCACCACCCACAGAATCGAGAAAGAGCTATCAATCTGTCAATCCTTTCCGTGTCCGGGCCGGGTGAGGTTCCCCGTGTTGAGTCAAATTAAGCCGCAGGCTCCACTCCTGGTGGTGCCCTTCCGTCAATTCCTTTAAGTTTCAGCTTTGCAACCATACTCCCCCCAGAGCCCAGAGACTCGTGGTTTCCCACACGCTGCCCGGCGGGTCATTGTGGTAGTAACGCCGCCGGATCGCGGGTCGGCATCGTTTACGGTCGGAACTACGACGGTATCTGATCGTCTTCGAACCTCCGACTTTCGTTCTTGATTAATGAAAACGTTCTTGGCAAACGCTTTCGCTCCAGTCCGTCTTGCGCCGGTCCAAGAATTTCACCTCTAGCGGCGCAATACGAATGCCCCCGGCCGTCCCTCTCAATCATGGCCCCGGGTTCCGGAAACCCACAGAAAATAGAACCGGGGTCCTATTCCATTATTCCTAGCTGGGGTATTCATAAGGGCGCAGTCGGCCCTGCCTTGAACACTCTAATTTTTTCAAAGTAAACGCTCCGGGCCCCAAGCCGAGGACACCCAGTCAAGGGCATCCGGGGGGCGCCGGGAGGCCTGGGGGTCCGGGACCGGCGGTGGCTCGCCTCACGGCGGACCGCGCGGCCCGGTCCCCGAGATCCAACTACGAGCTTTTTAACTGCAGCAACGTTAGCATACGCTATTGGAGCTGGAATTACCGCGGCTGCTGGCACCAGACTTGCCCTCCAATGGGTCCTCGCCCATGGGTTTAGGATACGCTCATTCCAATTACAGGGCCTCGAAGGAGACCTGCATTGTTATTTTTCGTCACTACCTCTCCGTGTCGGAAATGGGTAATTTGCGCGCCTGCTGCCTTCCTTGGATGTGGTAGCCGTTTCTCAGGCTCCCTCTCCGGAATCGAACCCTGATTCCCCGTCACCCGTGGTCACCATGGTAGGCGACGGACCTACCATCGAAAGTTGATAGGGCAGACATTCGAATGAACCGTCGCCGCCGCGAGGGCGTGCGATCGGCCCGAGGTTATCTAGAGTCACCAAAGCGAGGCCGGGGGCGGACGGCGGCGGGTAGGCGCGAGGCCCCCCTCTCCACCGCCCGCGCACCCGCATGGGTTTTGGATCTGATAAATGCACGCGTCCCCGGGGACCCACCCCACCCCGCCACATAGGGGGAGAAGGGCGGCCCAGGTCGGCGCTCGTTGGCATGTATTAGCTCTGGAATTGCCACAGTTATCCAAGTAACCGGGAGGAGCGATCAAAGGAACCATAACTGATTTAATGAGCCATTCGCAGTTTCACTGTACCGTCCGTGTGCACTTAGACTTGCATGGCTTAATCTTTGAGACAAGCATATATTACTGGCAGGATCAACCAGGTAGCCCCTCACACATCAGGTAAAATGCCAGAGGGAGAGGGGGGGAGAGGCGGCGGTTACCCACTGCCTACCCGCCACCCATCCGGCCTTCACGCAGAAGGGGGGTTGGGGTATGCCGCGAACGGGCATGGCTTCTAATCGAGGCCATCACCAGGAAGGTTCGTGCTTCGTAACGGGAACAACTGCGCCAGAGATGCCGCGCACACCTACCCGGCACACCAATCCTACCCCGCCGCCAGCCAACACGCCCGGGGTCCAGCCCGGGAGGGTGGGGAGGACAGGGAGGGATGCTGCCCGGTTAAGGCGCACGCACAACACCAACTTACGCACCTATTCCCGTCAATGTAGGACATTCCGAGGCAGACGGGCCATCTGAGTCTATTTCACCCAATAAGCTAGGGTCGAGGACCGGGTGAAGACCCACCTCGCCCTCCTTTCGAATGCCCAAATCGGGGAGGATCTCACCCCACCCACAGCGGTCCCCTTTGTCAGATGACCGGGCGAGGGGCCTGCCCCTGGGGCATCGCGCACATTTCCCATCGGTCATGTGGTGGAAGGCGGTGGCACGTAGTTACGCGCTCAAAACCTAAGTCCGCTAAATCACGCCTTCCCCGAAACCTCGACGGCAGGTCAGCGATAACCAGCTACGGTTACCCGGACGTCCGGCAGGGAAAGGCCCGAGAGGTCACACCCTGCCCGGCTTGAGGCCAGAGCTCGAGGGTCATGGATGTCGGAGTGGACTGGTGATTTAAGGCTTCTCGCTTTCAGAAACGGTACCGATGGTTACCCACAACTAACTTTGCAATGAAACTGTGCTGCTGGTCACCCAAAAATAACTTTGTCTCTCAGATTGGTGCTGCTGGTTACCCACAACTGACATTGTGCTTGGCTTGACTGACTGGCCTGGCTGGCTGGCTGGCTGGCTGACTGGGGGTGGGCTGGCTTGGCTGGCCTGGGCTGGTTGGGTTGGCCTGGGCTGGCTTGGCTGGCCTGGGCTGGCTGGCTGGCTGGCTGGGCTGGGCTGGGCTGGCCTGGCCTGGCTGGCTGGCTGGCTGACTGGGGGTGGGCTTGGCTGGCCTGGGCTGGCTGGCTGGCTGGCTGACTGGGGGTGGGCTGGGCTGGGCTTGGCTGGCCTGGCCTGGCCTGGCTGGCTGGCTGGCTGGCTGACTGGGGGTGGGCTGGCTTGGCTGGCCTGGGCTGGGCTGGGCTGGGCTGGGCTGGGCTGGCCTGGCCTGGCTGGCTGGCTGGCTGGCTGGCTGGCTGACTGGGGCTGGGCTGGGCTGGGCTGGGCTGGCCTGGCCTGGCCTGGCCTGGCCTGGCTGGCTGGCTGGCTGGCTGGCTGGCTGACTGGGGGTGGGCTTGGCTGGCCTGGGCTGGCTGGCTGGCTGGCTGGCTGGCTGGCTGACTGGGGGTGGGCTGGGCTTGGCTGGCCTGGCCTGGCCTGGCCTGGCCTGGCCTGGCCTGGCCTGGCCTGGCTGGCTGGCTGGCTGACTGGGGTGGGCTGGGCTGGGCTGGCCTGGCCTGGCCTGGCTGGCTGGCTGGCTGGCTGGCTGGCTGACTGGGGGTGGGCTTGGCTGGCCTGGGCTGGCTGGCTGGCTGGCTGGCTGACTGGGGGTGGGCTGGGCTTGGCTGGCCTGGCCTGGCCTGGCTGGCTGGCTGGCTGACTGGGGGTGGGCTGGGCTGGGCTGGGCTGGGCTGGGCTGGGCTTGGCTGGCCTGGCCTGGCCTGGCCTGGCCTGGCTGGCTGGCTGGCTGACTGGGGGTGGGCTTGGCTGGCTGGCTGGCTGGCTGGCTGGCTGACTGGGGGTGGGCTTGGCTGGCTGGCTGGCTGGCTGGCTGGCTGACTGGGGGTGGGCTGGGCTTGGCTGGCCTGGCCTGGCCTGGCTGGCTGGCTGGCTGACTGGGGGTGGGCTGGGCTGGGCTGGGCTGGCCTGGCCTGGCCTGGCCTGGCCTGGCCTGGCTGGCTGGCTGGCTGGCTGGCTGGCTGACTGGGGGTGGGCTTGGCTGGCTGGCTGGCTGGCTGGCTGGCTGACTGGGGGTGGGCTTGGCTGGCCTGGGCTGGCTGGCTGGCTGGCTGGCTGACTGGGGGTGGGCTGGGCTTGGCTGGCCTGGCTGGCTGACTGAGGGTGGGCTGGGCTGGGCTGGGCTGGGCTGGGCTGGGCTGGGCTTGGCTGGCCTGGCCTGGCCTGGCCTGGCCTGGCTGGCTGGCTGGCTGGCTGACTGGGGGTGGGCTTGGCTGGCCTGGGCTGGCTGGCTGGCTGGCTGGCTGACTGGGGGTGGGCTGGGCTTGGCTGGCCTGGCCTGGCCTGGCCTGGCCTGGCTGGCTGGCTGGCTGACTGGGGGTGGGCTTGGCTGGCTGGCTGGCTGGCTGGCTGACTGGGGGTGGGCTGGGCTTGGCTGGCCTGGCCTGGCCTGGCTGGCTGGCTGGCTGGCTGACTGGGGGTGGGCTTGGCTGGCCTGGGCTGGCTGGCTGGCTGGCTGGCTGACTGGGGGTGGGCTTGGCTGGCCTGGGCTGGCTGGCTGGCTGGCTGGCTGACTGGGGGTGGGCTGGGCTTGGCTGGCCTGGCCTGGCCTGGCCTGGCTGGCTGGCTGGCTGACTGGGGGTGGGCTGGGCTGGGCTGGGCTGGCCTGGCCTGCCCTGGCTGGCTGGCTGGCTGGCTGGCTGGCTGACTGGGGGTGGGCTTGGCTGGCCTGGGCTGGCTGGCTGGCTGGCTGGCTGACTGGGGGTGGGCTGGGCTGGCCTGGGCTGGCTGGCTGGCTGGCTGGCTGACTGGGGGTGGGCTTGGCTGGCCTGGGCTGGCTGGCTGGCTGGCTGGCTGACTGGGGCTGGGCTTGGCTGGCCTGGCCTGGCCTGGCTGGCTGGCTGGCTGACTGAGGGTGGGCTGGGCTGGGCTGGGCTGGGCTTGGCTGGCCTGGCCTGGCCTGGCCTGGCTGGCTGGCTGGCTGGCTGACTGGGGGTGGGCTTGGCTGGCTGGCTGGCTGGCTGACTGGGGGTGGGCTTGGCTGGCCTGGGCTGGCTGGCTGGCTGGCTGACTGGGGGTGGGCTGGGCTGGGCTTGGCTGGCCTGGCCTGGCCTGGCTGGCTGGCTGACTGGGGGTGGGCTGGGCTGGGCTTGGCTGGCCTGGCCTGGCTGGCTGGCTGGCTGGCTGGCTGGCTGACTGGGGGTGGGCTTGGCTGGACTTGGCTGGCTGGCTGGCTGGCCGGCCTGGGCTTGCCTGACCTGGCCTGGCCTGGCTGGATTGGGGGTGGCTGGCTGGCTGGCTGGCTGGCTGGCCGGCCTGGGCTTGCCTGACC